GGCTCGGGAGGGTTGAAGAGATTCACCAGATAGAGGAGAAGGTGGCCGCAAATGTGGGATTGGAGAAACACAAAGAAATCCGGAGGACCTAGATGTTCTATTTGAGTTCCAACAAATAACAGTTTTGCCCAAAGTGAATATATCTACTAAGACAACTGTATCCATTGTATTCGATTAATTTTCTTTTTGTGTTCTGAATTATTTATGATAAAATCTTTCAATAAAAAGAGATTGTCAAAAAATATATATAATGGATACTAATACACATATAACAGTTATTTTGTTATTTAAGTTAAGAAGGTCCCTCTTCACCACTTGTCTTTATCAACATCATACTTGCAATCTACAATGTACTATTGTGAAGAGCTGCATAATATGTTGGTGCTGTATAAATGACAATAATAATAATAATAATAATAATAATAATTAATAATAATAATTATTAATAGCATTCCCATTCCCCTAGGAAAGACATGTATTATAAGTCTGTACATATGTAAATAGACCTTGATGGTTTATAGTCATTTAGGTTTGATTCTCTGCATGGAATAATGGTGCATGGTTTGAAGCTGTCAGACTAATTTCCATTGCTGAATCAAAGCCAACTATGCTAATGAGCCCCAAAGGACCAAACTGTACAATCCATGTTACACAGTTACATAGCTGCATAGGCTGTAAAGAGAAATGTATCTATCAAGTTCAGCCTTTCTCACATCTGTTTTTGCTGTTTGAAGAACTATACACAACTGGACAATTTTGAAACAAACTAGGAAAAAATTCCTATTACCCCCAAATTTCTAAATTATATCCCTGAATATTATGTTTTGCAAGTATTCACCCAGTTGCTGTTTAAACATCTGTACAAACTTACAGATTCTGATAAAACGCAACAAATTATGGAAAAAAATCCCTCTTAATCCCAGAATGGCACTCAGATTTATCCTTGGATCAAGAAGCTATTACCCTACAGTTGAAAAATTCTTAATTTTCTTACGGTAAAAAACCTTTCTTTTGCCTTAGACGAAATCTTCCTTCTTCCAGTCTAAACGCATGACCTTGTGTCCTATGTATAGTCCTGTTTCTGAATAGATTTCCACACAATGGTTTGTATTAGATTTGTATAATGTTATCATATCCTCTCTGAGGCAACGTTTTTCTAAACAAAAGAGATTTAAATGTGTTAACCTTTCTTCATAGCTAAAATGTTCAATTTTTTTTATTAATTTTGTAGCCCACATTTGCACATTTTCTAGTGCCCTAATCTGCTTCTTTAGAACAGGTGCCCGAAATTGCACAGCATATTCAAGGTGTGGTATTAACATTGATATATAAAGAAGTAAAATAATATTTTCATCTTGAGAATGAATTCCCCTATTGATACATAACAATGCTTTACTGACCTTAGTAACTGCTGAATGGCATTACACCTAGTTGCATAGTTTGTTGTCTGTAACAATTCCATAAATCCTTCTCGTGTGTTGTTATCCCTAATTCACTACCATTTAGGGTGTAACTTGCTTGTGCATTCTTTGCCCTAAAGTGCATAACTTTGCATTTATCCACGTTAAATTTCATCAGTCATTTGAATGTTCAGTCCCCCAATCTATCGTAATCCCTCTACAGCAAAGCAATATCCTGCTCACACTGTACTACTTTAGAGTCAAGTGTAGCATGACTTTCAATGCCTATTTCAAGATCATTTATAAATATGTGAAACAGAAGCAGTCACAGAAAAGAAACCTGAAGGACACCACTTTTGTCCAGCTTGAAAATTGACTACCAATGACAACTCTCTGAACTCTAGATGTTCTACCCAAGAGCAAAAATTGTCACTAGACCAGTGGTTCCCAACCCAGTCCTCAAGTACCCCCTAACAGTCCAGGATTTAGGAATTGCCCAGTTGTGTCTAAGGTGTTTTTACAAATGTAAAAAAATAAAACTATTTAGGCACAACAGCGAGGATTGGGTTGGGAACCACTGATCTAAACCATGTAAAATGCCTTTACAAAATTCACAAGACATCCACTGCAACACTCTACTTACTTATTTGTAGAATGCAATTGTTTGGCCTCCCCTATCAAAGTGCCACCTGCAGCCCGACTGGGTCTTATGGACGGCCTCTGTGTTTTTTTCCCTGAAGAGTTTAGGCCAAACAATATATTCTAAAGCTGCCCTAATCCTATTGGAAGTGTCCTTTTTGAAAATTATACATTTTAGTATACCCCATGTACATTTGCTTTTTGAGTTTATTTCAAAAGATACCATATTATGAGAACTATTGGACATGTTCTCCCCTACTTGAATGTTTGTCAGGCAAACATCCTTTCTAGTTGGTGTTTGTACCAGTTGTGTCATAAAGATGTAATTTAACAAGGTAGCAGTGCTACCATTCAGTGTCTCTTCCCTTTGCACGGAGACACTAAACGTTCCTCATAGAGATGCATTCATTCAATGCATCTCTATGAAGAAATGCTGATTGGCCAGGGATGTGTTTGGCTTATGCTGGCTCTGCCCCTGATCTGCCTCCTTGACATTCTCAGCCAATCCATTGGCTTTGAATAACACTTCTGATGATTTTAGTCAAGCAGGCAGATCAGGGACAGCAGCACACTGGAATAAAAGTAAGATTTTACTATATTTAGGGGGTAGGAGAGGCCAGGAGGGCTAGATTGTGTTTTAAACACTGGAGGGTCATGAATACATGTTTGTGTTCTTGACCCTATAGTGTTCCTTTAAATAAATAAAAGTTCAATGACTGCCAATTTCCATATTATTAAATACATGCTTGCTGACTAACATGTGACACACCTGGAAGACATAGATACATCAAGGTTTCCATATCATTAGCGGGCACCAGATTCATAATGGTAACCACTTGCTTACATATCTTATGTCAAGGTAAGAGGCTATTCTTAGTATTGTCTTTACTGGTATATAAACGGTTGTGAAATAACTCTCCAAAAGTCCATTATAGTGTAATTTACACAGCTTGATGAGTTCCCTGCAATATGTTTTCTGCATTTATGTTTAATAGAATTATTATTTTGTCTTTTTACTACAGTAAACAGACCACAAAACACTGAAGAAAAGTTATTTGCATGGATATAAAGGGATGGATCTAATTTTGATTAAACCCAATGAAAAATGCATTCAAACAATTGTTCAAACATCTGAGTCTTATTATCGAGGGTGATAAACAAAGGGGAACGTGTAAGAACATAATTCTCAGCAGACTGCAAACATTTAAAAGCAGTGTCATTTCAGAATTATTACAACATAATTCTTTCTAATAGTAATATAAAATATAGGTGTATAAAACAATGAGCAAATAGAATCCCATACCTGAGCATTAATTAAAGCAATATATTACCTTTGGTTAAATCTCCAGTTTAATGCTCTTAAGCATCATTGCAATTTGTATTATAAATGTCATATTTTAAAGAATTTACACTTTCCTAATGTATAATAAAACAAAATAAAATGCAATTTTCACATGAGGTCTTGTACCGTATGTTCCGAATTATATTATATATCTATTTAGAAATGGGAAATATGAAATAGGAGGTGAAGGAAATTAATTAAATAAGGCTGAGTATAATTTTTAGTGTGCTTAGAGGGAATTTTAATCCCTTCCTCAAATCACCTGGCTGGAAAGTGGGTGGAGGTTCTTAAAATGAACACCCTCCATAAATTCCTTTGCCTTCCTTAAATCATCCCTGAACATAAACATATGGGAAGCTAGGCTTACCCGACCCACTCTCACTTTATGTCTTGAATCCATCAGCTTTCAGAAGATTATGGAGTGGTCAAAATTGGGCCATTCTAAACCTTGGCAGGTGATTAAGAATACACGACCACTATGTCCCCTTTATTTCCTTCATTGACTTCTGTCCTTGACAACTCTTCACCTAGCACTTTATCATTGGAGCATTCCCTCATCTTGAGTCAACAAGCTCCCTGATATTCTCTTTCTATTTTTCCCGCTTCCATAACCCAATCTCAGACAACCCATATTTATGACCTTCTCATTATCCCACTTTCCTCAGATCCTTAGGTCTTTCCTCCCCATTGAGACTACGCTAGCTACTTTCAGTAGGTTGTTTCATTTTTATTAGACTTCCTACTGGGCCCCCTTTCTTCATCCCTGATAATTCACCACCATTATGACGTTTTATTATTATTTAGACAAAATGGATGACAGGCCTGCAAGCTCCGTGTGTTCCTTATTCCTGATAGATGATCACAGAAAGGGTTTGGGTTCACATTTTCTAACTCACACATAAGTCAACAATGCACAATGTCAATCAGCAGTGGCTAAGGCCAGTAAGGTATAGTCATGCATGAAAAAAGGCATTCATTCTTGGGATCAGAAATCTTGCCTCTTTATAAATCACTGGTAAGACGACATCTTGAATATGATGTGCAATTTTGGGCACCTGTTCTAAAGAAGGATATTATGGCACTAGAAAGAGTGCAGAGGCAGGCTACAAAATTAATAAAAGGACTGGAACATTTTAGCTATGAAGAAAGGTTAACACATTTAAACCTCTTTAGTTCAGAAAAATGTTGCCTCAGAGGGGAAATTATAACATTATATAAATATATCCGGATCCAATACAAACCATAGCGTTTAAAAATCTATTTACAGGGGGCGTGGGTTGGACTCCGAGAGTGATGGCAGCCTAACTCCGGAGCTCCGCACCAGAGGCTCTGTAACACACCCGGTAACCAGCACCTAACATCAGTGCAAACCCCTGCAATCAACGCCGGCAGCGGTAATCCCACAGTGTCACCCGCAAACCATGTCACACCGGAAAGCGGCAGCAAAAAAGCAAAGAGGCAGCAATCCCTCCGTGGTGGACATGCTTGCCACCATTAAACCCACGCCACGTGGCACACACGGCATGGAGAGCCCGACGGGCACCTCCTCCCTTGGCTCACCTGCCACGCTGACATCACTGTACAGGCAAACAGAGGACCCATACTGCTCTCCCTTGAAGATGTAAAGGGGTACTTGGCGGGTGAAATAGACAGATCAGCAAGGGAGGTGAAGGCCGAAATCCAGGCTATTGGTATTCGAACAGAGGCCTTAGAGAGCAGGCTAGAAGATGTGGTAGAAGCACACAATGACACTACCACAGACACCTATGACGTAAAGAGAAAACCACAAAGAATACAAGGCACCCCTCCACCCCCTCCCCCATGACATGTTTAAAAAACAATCAGCAGACAGGCTCACAGGAGCCGGAGACCAAAACACTGCATGTCATAGATACCCCCGAAAGGTTAGACATATGTACAGAGCCTCGCAAGGGTGCTCGATGGCTGTACACCCGCCCCATCTGAGACAGCTCCTCAGCGTGGCGGGTGGCTACCCCCAATCGACCTGGCGAGAGATAAGACCAGGATGATGGATCCGACAGGTACAAGGATCACGGAGGGACATCCTCCACCATGTTTTGTTTATTGTTCTATTGGTTATGTTATACGGATATCAATACATGTTTTCGTAACCTGTTTTATTTCCTTTCCCACCCGCAACCACAACTCTCCTGAGGCAAGGCTCATCCAGCAACCACCCCAGGGGACCACCGGGATGCACGCTGCACTAAGGAGGATACACCGCACTACGCACCAACCACGCACAGATGCTCAAGGTACACCAGCACACTACCCACAGCACCACATGGAGCTTAAAATTACATCGCTGAATGTCAATGGCTTCAATGTGCCAAACAAACGCAGACTCTTACTCAGGGAACTACACATACAGAAGGCAGACATTGCGTTCATACAGGAAACCCACTTCCCTAACACTTCTAAGATTCAAATCACAGACCACATATACACGAAAGCATACGCGGCCCGCACATGCCGCAAAACAAGGGGGGGTAGAAATTGTCATTCACAAAAGATGCCCAATGGTAATACAGTCCATACACAGAGACACAGACAGTAGGTACATAATACTCATGGGAATGATCAACGCCACCAAATACCACCTCATTAACATATATGCCCATAACATCCCTGATGCTCACTTCTGGACAACACTGGAAAATCTCACAAATCTCACAAACTCAATGACGGGGGGCATATTGATCCTGGGAGGGGACCTGAACGCAGCGCCATGTCCCACAGGACAAGATCGTCTCCTAAGCAAATTTCTACAAAACACGGGGCTATTAGACCCCTGGAGGCTGCAACACCCAGGTACACTACATTATACCCATTACTCAGCAGTACACTCCACTTACTCTCGAATAGACTTATTCCTTACTAACCAACAAGATATGAAATGGGTCAAGTCGTCAGCAATAAATCTGATATCGTGGTCAAACCATGCTGACCTAGCACTGACCCTACAAACACCGGAGCCGCGGGCCCATGGAGATGGAGATTTAACAACTCCCTCCTTAGAGACCAGGAGACCCTAGAGCTACTTAAGACAGAAGTAAACAACTACTTTGAAAGAAACACCATGGAGGGACTATCCTCCACCATAACATGGGCGGCCGACAAAGCCATCCTGCGGGGAACCCTGATAAAAATAGCGACGTACAACAAAAAACAAAAAAGGAAAAACTCACCGAACTACAGAAGGCCTTACGTAAATCAGAAATGCAACACAAACAGAACCCAACACAGACCAAACTAGATGAAATACAACACATCAGACACACGCTGAAGAACCTCCTCTTGGATGAGGTGAGTAGAGATTTCACTTGATCGAAAATACTTTTTTATGAAAAGTCCAATAAAATGGACACGTTATTAGCTAGGGCCCTCAGACCAAAACAAAAACACAAACACATCACATCCATAACCAACGAAAGGGGCCAACCCCTCACATCCCCACAGGACATTGCCGAGGAATTCACCAACTTCCTACAACAACTATACAACCACTCCCCGGGGAAAGATGAGAAGAACAGGGACCATGTAGAGGCAGTTGCAAAATTCCTGGACAAAGTAAACCTACCCAAGCCCACTAGGGAAGACCTAACAGACCTGGAGTCACCAATGACGATAGAAGTAGACAGGGCCATAGGGTTGATAGAGGGCAATAAGACACCGGGACCGGATGGTTTGACAGGGCCTACTATAAAGCACTGCAAGCAGAATTAGCACCTCACATGAAAGCAATGTATCAGGAATATATGGAGGGGGGACGTCCCAATGCAGAGCTAGCCACGGCGAACGTGATCCTAATCCCGAAGCCAGGACGAGACGAAACGAAGGTAAACAACTACCACCCCATCTCTCTGACCAATGTAGACTCCAAAATGTACGCCAAGATCCTGGCCAGCAGGTTGGGACACATCCTGCCCAAGCTGGTCCATGTGTACAGGTGGGCTTTGTACCAACCAGGCAACTTTATGAGAACACTAGACGCGCAGTGGACCTGATCTGGTGGGCCGGAAAGACTCGGATGCCTTCTCTCGTCCTATCGCTGGATACAGAGAAGGCCTTCGACAGGATCCAATGACACTACTTATTCTCCTTACTGCATCACATGGGCCTACTGGAAAACTACATCACAGCGGTCAGAGCACTGTACACGAACCCAAATGGGGCCCAAATAGCCATACTAGGAGCGACCCAAAAACCATTTAAACTAAGCAATGTCACAAGGCAGGGATGCCCACCCTCGCCGCTCCTCTTCATACTGGCCCTAGAACCCCTCCTCTACAAGATTAGGGAACACCCAAACATAAAGGGACTGACAATAGCAACAGAGCAATATAAAGTATCTGCGTACGCAGATGACATTCTGCTCACACTCACGGACTTGGAGAATTCCCTCCCGAACCTAGTCCATCTGCTGGAGGAGTTCGCCCAGGTAGTGGGCTATAAAATAAACATGGAAAAATCAGAAGCCATGCTGCTGGGGTTGACGGCGGGAAACGCAGCGCTGATAGGGAGGACGGCACAAATAAAACTAAACCACCAACTCATAAAATATTTGGGGGTCAGACTAACAAAAGATGTCTCACAACTGTAAAAGGAAAACTACACACCAATGATTAAAACACTAATAAAAGACTTAGAAAAATGGCATGAGAAGCCAATCTCATGGATCGGTCGCCTTCACGCAATTAAAATGAATGTATTACCGAGGATGCTGTTCCTCTTCCAGGCACTGCCCACGAAAGTCACGTAAGAGGCTCTTACAAACCACCATAGATCAATTTATATGGGCACATAAAAGACACAGGAAAGCCCGACACATACTCTACCGACCAAAGGGACTAGGGGGACTGGGACGTCCCAACCTTCACCTGTATTACCTCTCGGCACAGTTAGCCCAGATAATAGAGTGGCACTCACCCCCAGATAGACGCAGATGGGCAGACCTTGAATCCCTAGTGATGGGAAGGGACCTCCCTCAGTACTGGATCTGGGTACCAAAAACAGATAGACCACCCTTACTCACAGACTAGCAATACTCAACTCCATTAAAATATGGGACGCCACCGCACATAAATACGCTCTAACCAGAATGCCCTCACCCCTCAGCCCTCACCCCATATCTGAGAAATAGAGCATTCGCACCAGGTATGCGGGCGAGGGACTTTAAAGGACTGGAATACACAGGCCTGCAGAGATACTATCACCTATATGACGGGGACACATTCAAGACATTTGACGAACTTAAACAGGTAGCGCTACTACAAACTAGAGACTTTTTCAGATACATACAACTACAGGACTTTGCTAAACATCCCGGGATAAGAGAGGCAGCCAAAGCCCCATTGACTAGCTATGAAAAATTATGTATGACAGAAACCACACATAAGGGCCTGATTACCGGGCTATACGCACAGCTTAGCGCCCGGAAAGAGATGCAGAACCCCTCACCTACATTACCCAATGGGAGAAAGACCTACAATAAACACTGGAAGGGGAGGACTGGAGGAATATCTGGGAAGCAGCAGCCAAAGTGTCCATATGCGTAACACTTCTGGAACAGGCATATAAAACCCTCCTGATGTGGTATGCCACCCCGGCCAAACTCTATAGAATGGGGAAAACCACTACAGATACATGCTGGAGGGGCTGCGGTGAGAGAGGATCATACATCCATTTATGTTGGACGTGTCCCAAAGTAGAGAGATTCTGGACGGAAATAGAAACATTACTGACAGCAGTCCTAGAGAGACCAATACACAGAGACCCATGGACATACCTTCTAGCCAAACCACAAGACTGACAACAAGAGAACAGAAACTAGTTAACAAACTGACCTTAGCAGCCAGAAAAGCATTGACCCAACAATGGCTCAGCTCTGACACCCCTCTTCTGAGTAAAGTAATACACAAAATAAAGGACAACTTTACCATGGACAAATTGACGGCACTAGTAAGGAACACCATGAGCACCTTCTCCCATGGTGTGGCAACCATGGGAGGAATACCTGGAAAGGATGGCGCGTGCACCATGAGATACACGAGTCAATCTAGGCAGCACACACCACCACACACACACAAAGTAGACGCACCCGGTGAGTTCCCCTCCCCTACAACCCTCTACCTCCCAACCACCCCTATCACCTTACCTGAACTCACCCCCCCTCCCCTCTCTGTTTGTCTTCTAATTTTAAAGGTGTGGGTTGGGAGGGGGGGGGGAGAAAGGAAAACACAAGTTGCACAGTATGGAGCGTGTAGCAAAAAAGTCCAAAGCTATACTGCAATCCACGGACCAATGGTGTTAACAAGGGCAAAAGACTATGTCCCTGCCATGATCTTCAAAATGAGGACTTACAGCCATGATAGTGGGTAGCGATGTATTTTATGATGGTGAGACAAACGAATGTACTATGGCCCAACACAGTAAAATGCAAAGTGTAAACGAAGCAACATTCAGTAACTTTACGACAACGAATTGTAATCACAAATACTGTTCACGCGAGAATTGTAAGGCTCCATTCCTGTACTCATAAATAGGTAATTATGTGGGAGGAGGGGGGAGGGGAAAAAGTGAGGAGGGGGAAGGAAAAAAGAATAACAACAAGAAAAAATAGATTAACAGGTTACGTACCAATGTTCTAGAATTACCTTTAACTTCAAGGAATACACCTATTACGGTGTTTTCTTGTTTTTGAATTTTATTGTTTCTATAAAAATGAAATAACACTGACGGACTGCGGCTTCAGAAAAATAACAAAGAAAGTAAAGAC